TATATTGGTCTTTTTGAGACGGGGTCGCTTTGTAGCCCCAGCTGCCCTGGAACTCACAATATAGACCAGGCTGGCCTTGAACTCACAGAGATCTGCCTGCCTCTGCCTCCCAAGTGCTGGGACTACAGGCGTGAACCACCACGCCTGGCTTCTGCATATCTTTTTTTAAAGTTGGGAACTTCTTTTCATGTAACTGTTTTATGGCTTCTCTTTAGCATATCCAAATTGCCAGCATTATTACTTATGTGGTTTGAGGCCACTATGAAGTAAGAGAGCTGCTCAGCACAAATTCTTGTTATTGGGAGTTGACTTGAAAACGAAGACAGCTGTTAAGTGAATTGACGGTGACCTAGAAAGTGTGGACATATTGGGCAAAGGGGGATTCACTTCTCAGACAACACAACACAGCACAACAGCAAGGGACCTCATGCCACTCAAAATAGTGCACAATTTAAAACTTAGGAATCCTTTATTTCTGGAGTTTTCCTTTTAAAATTTTTGCCTGAAGTTGCAGAAAGTGACACCTTGGATAAGGTGGGCTGTTCTACTTATTGGCTTATAATTCACTTAAAAAATTTTTTAGCTTATCTTACTTATATTTCACTATTGATAGACCTTTAAGATAGTCCCAGGCTTTGATTACTATAGAAAATACAGTATATACATTCTAGTGTAGTGTTTCTTTTCTTCTTTGAATTATTAACTTAGAATAAATATATATGTTGAAATGCTATGTAAGTTTATTCAGCTACCTATTGACATTTTGAATTTTAAATTGGTTGAATCAGTTTGTGTGGACTATAGCGATCTATAGTTTTTTTCAAATGTTAGGACAAATGTGAATAATACAGCAATTAGCTATTCAGCTTTTTTGGATGTATATATTATTTAGTAGGTATATCATTGAATATATATACATATATATGTATATATATTTTAATACATATATAACAGTTTATCTGATTCCAGGGATAAAAAAGTATGAAAACTTTAAAAATCTTTTTCTTCCCCATTCCTTACATAAATAGAATCAAGCTGTAGAAGTAACCTGGGGTCACCAGCCCACATACCTGAGCTGGGTGGAAGGCAGGCATTTTAATGATCAAGGTGAAAATGTGGCTGAAATGAACAGACAAGCTGGTCAGAAACTTGGACTCTCAGATGGGGAAGAGGTAAGCACAAAATGGGCTGGGAGTGACTTCCTTTGAATGCTGCATGATATAGCAAAGAAATAATATTTAAAATATAGGTTATTTTTAAAGAAAGTGAAAGGATTTGTATGCTGTTATAACTGATCTAACATGCATTAACTATATTTTGTTGAGTCATCATCTTTTATTTAACATACTTCCTACCTGATTTTTGTAGCCTAGTTTGCTCACTTTCCAGTCAATTTTTGTAAAATCATTTTTCCTTTTAAATTATTGGGGTTTCTTTCTGTCCTAGTTTGTTTCTTCATTGCTGTGACAAAACACGCTGACCGCTACCAACTTGGGGAAGAAAGGGTTTATTTATCTTACATCTCCCAGGTCACAGTTCATCAGGGAGCCCAAGGTAGGAACTCAGGGCAGGAACTTGGAGGCAGGAGCTGGAGCACAGGCCATGAGGAATACTGCTTACTGGCTTGCTCCCCTGGCCCCTGCTCAGCTTGCTTTCTTATGCAACACAGGGTAACCTGCCCAGGGGTGACACCACCCACAGTGGGCTGGGCCCTGCCACTTCGCTCAACAATCAAGAAGATGCCCCACAGACGTGGCCACAGGTCAGTTCTATGGAGGCAATTCTCCCAAGTGAGGCTCCCTCAACCCAGGTGTGTGAAGTTGGCAGTTAAAGTCATCCAGCACACTTCCTATTATAGAATTTCATTTTAGTTTTTTAATATTTATTTGTGTAGGTTGCATGTGTATGTGTGTGGGCATATGGATGTGGAGATTCGAGGAAAACTTGGAGGAATCGATTCTCTCCTTCCACCATGTGGGTCCAGGAGATTGAACTCAGATTGTCAGATTTGGTGGCAGATGGTTTTATCCACTGAGCCATCTCACTGGCACCATTTGGGTTTTATTTATTTATTCATTCATTTATTTAAGAATTCACTGTGTAACTAAGGATAAATAGCTATCGATCTGATCTTCCTGCTTTAACCTCTCAAATTCTGCGATTGCAGGTCTTTTTAACTTATTCCGAACTCAGAATGGTTTTACTTAATACGTGCTTTTGATAATAAAATAGGTCATTCATAAAACATCCGTGACCTTACGATAGTCTTTTGCATGCCCTAAATTTTTGCTAGAATTTGAATTTGTTTAAAATGTACGTTCATGTTTCCATGTGGGAGGTGCACATGCATGTGAGTGCACATGGGTGTAGAGACCAGAGGTTGACTTTGGGTGCCTGCCTCAGTTGCTTTCCACCTTAGTTTTTGAGACAGGGTCTCTCATTGGCTAATTGTCCTAGCCCTGCTGGTCAGCAAGCCCCATGGATCCTCCTGTCTCTGCCTTCGCAGTGCTGGGATTATAGGCCATTGTGCACAGCTTTTTTTGTTAGTGCTGGGGAGCAAACTCAGGTCCTCATGCTTTCATGGAAAGAACTATACAGATTGAGCCACCTCTATAGCCCCTAGAACCTTAAATTTTTAACACCAGAATGACTTTAAAAGTCACTGGTGCTTTCTCTGCCAACCTATTTTTACTTGCTTTGAGTATGTGGCACTGTCCTGAGGGACAGTTCTGGTCTTAGTACTATGAACAGTCCTACTCTGTTTTTCATTTTCATTTGTTTCTATGTGACCTTTACCTGCTTTTCTCAAACCCTCTATTGTAGGAGTGCTACCTAAACATTTATCTCCCAAAGAACAGGGACAAAGAGTGACATGCTAGCCCAGGTAGTTTAGCTTTGTGCTAGACAGGAGATACTTTGTATTTCCTCAGAATCATCTCCTTCAAATAGATTATCAAGTGCCTTTACCTGCTGGGCCTTCTCTCTGGCCCTCTTTTTTCTTTTTTTTGTTTTAGTTTGTTTTTTTGAGACAGGGTCTCCCTGTAGCCCTCCAGGTGGCCTGGAACCGGCCTCTACCGCCCAAGGCCTGGGATTAAACCGTGTACCACCACACCTGGCTCTCTTTTTTGATAGTCTTGCTATGCTGCTCAGGCTGGTCTTGAATTTATGATCATCCAGCTTCAGCCTCTAGAATAGCTGGGATTATAGGCACATGCCAACCTGGCTCTTTCTAGTAACTGTCTTTATTTGCTTTTGAAAGAATGTTGTGCTACATTGTTCCATTGTTCTGTAATTCATTGTGAAACAGTTTTTTCCTAAAATATTGAATACATCAATATTGTCACCTGAAATATGACACTGAGAAAGACTGAGCAACTGAGGCTTACCTAAAGAGAGAACTTATTTTCCTAAAATGCAGAAAAGTCTTTTTCCATTTCTGTTTTTTTCCAGGTGTTTCTCAAGCCCTGTTCCCATGTGGTATCTTGCCAACAGGTTGAGGTCGAGCCACTGTCAGCAGACGATTGGGAGATACTGGTAAAGAAAAACAAAGTGCTATCTCGCTTTAAAGTTAAACTACTTCCAAGTGTCACTCTTTATAGCTTTCTCTGAGCACCATCAAATATTCTGAGTTAGTCTGAATTATAAGAATTAATTAGTAGAGAGATAATGCTCAACAGAACTATAGATGAGAACATTGTGCTATGTTTAGGATTCATTCTAAATAAGTAGATTTTAACTTCTCTTGACACAGAAACAAAAAAGCAGCAGGCTAACTGTGAGATGATGGATGATGTGTGTCCCGTGGTGTCATGTATAACAATACCTTTTTTAAAAAAAATGAGTGGAGATTTCCATACCGGGCATAGAATGATCAAAACATGGCTGATCTGACCTTTCTGTTGGTTCTAGGAGCTGCATGCTGCTTCCATCGAACAGCATCTTCTAGATCAGATTCGAATAGTTTTTCCGAAAGCCATTTTTCCCATTTGGGTTGACCAGCAGACTTACGTCTATATCCAAATTGGTAGGTGCTGTTGTACTATTTGCCAGCATTCTCTCCTCTAGAGTACTGAGTCCAAACCAGAGGTGAACATGGCCTAATGAGCTCTGTTTTCTGCCCAGTTGCTCTCATGCCAAATGCCCCTTACGGAAGACTGGAAACTAACACCAAACTGCTTATTCAGCCCAAGACACTCCAAGCCAAAGAAAACACATTTTCCAAAGCAGATGATACACATGGAAACTTTCATAGTTATGCAAGAGAAAAAAAAGGAATGTCAAAAGAATTCCAAACCAACCAGCTTCATTCGCATACTAAGGGAATCACTGGCTCTAGTGAAACAGACCCAGAGGTTCTGAGTGACTCACCCTTGAAACCAAGCTGGTGGACTATGTTAGGAAGCATTTTTTCTTTTGGATCTGAGAACAAACAAGAGACATCCTGGGGTTCAACTGAAATCAGTGCTTTCAAAAACATGCAGTCACAGGTTGTTCCTCTAGACAATATTTTCAGAGTATGCAAAGCTCAACCTCCCAGTGTACAGAGCATCTCAGCAACCTCTGTATTTCACAAACACTGTGCCATTCATGTATTTCCATGGGACCAAGAATATTTTGATGTGGAGCCCAGCTTTACTGTGATCTATGGAAAACTAGTTAAGTTACTTTCTCCAAAGCAACAGCAAATCAAAACAAAGCAGAGTGTCCTGTCACCTGAAAAAGAGAAGCATCTGTTGAAGCCACCAGATCAGAAACAGATTAGCTCAGACTCCAGTCAAGACGCTGACAAGGCCTGTGTGCTGAAGGTAGTCTGGAATGGACTTGAGGAATTGAAGAATGCCATGAAATACTCCAAAAGTGTAGAGCCTCTCCACCTTGGGAAAGTCTGGGTGAGTATGAGGTTTATAATTTTGGGGGAAACTTCTGTTACTGAAACTTCCTCAAATTTTGAATTAGAATAATATATATAAATTGAAAATCAATGTAATGAGAAATAGTATATCTTAAATCTCTGGGAAAGACATATTTCTGCCTTATTTATCTTATTTAGGTAAAGATTGTATACTTCCTAGACAAGTAAGCCTGGACAGCTCACAAAGGTAAAAATTTCTTGTCTGAAGTTGCATAGCAAGTAAATGTTAGAAGGAGGATTCGGGCCCAGGCAGATAGGCTCTAGGGTTCATGCTTAGCTTGGAGGCCCAACAGATCCTTGCCTTATTTATTTATTTATTTATTTATTTATTTATTTATTTGGTTTTTTGTTGTTGTTGTTGTTGTTTTGAGGCAGGGTCTCCGTAGCCCCAGCTGGCCTGGATTCACTATGGAAATCAGGCTTGGCCTCGAACTCCCAGAGATCTGCCTGCCTCTGCCTCCCAAGTGCTGGGATTAAAGGCGTTTGCCACCATGCCCGGTAAATCCTTGCTTTGAAAAAACAAACAGGGGCTGGAGAGATGGCTCAGCGGTTAAGAGCACTGAGTGCTCTTGCAGAGGACCCAGGTTCAGTTCCCAGCACCCACATGGCAGCTACGAACTGTCCTTAACCCCACTTCCAGAGAAATCCGAAACCCTCTTCTGATCTTCACAGCATTGCACAGCACAAGTGCACTCACTTACATGCAGGCAATACACTCATATACATAAAATAAAAATAATAAATAAAATAGTTTTAAAAACAAACAAAAAAACACAAAAAATCCCCCAAACTTCAAGCCTGGGCACACATTTAATCCCAGCACTTAGGAGGCAGAGGCAGGTGGATCTCTGTGAGATCAAGGCCAGCCTGGTCTACACAGTGAGTCTTAAGCCAGTTGGGTCTTCAGGGAGACCCTGTCTCAAAGAGACCAAAAAAACCCATACCACTTCATCATCATCTCATCGTCATTATTATTATTTGTATGTGTGTATGTGTGAGCAGATGTGTGTTTCATTATATGTGTAGAAATCAGAGGACAACCCTGCAGAGTCATTTCCCTCCTACTTTTACGTAGGTTCTGAGGATTGAACTCAGTTTGTCAAGTATGCACGGCAAGCACTTTTCCCCATCACGGCATCTCACAGCCCAGGCTTGCTTTTTTAATACCTGTAGACGATCTACTGCAAGTTCTTGAATACACAGTATGTTAGGAAGATGCCTTATGTAGGGCAAGAACCACAGTATGAGGCAACATTCTTACCACCCCTGATGACACTTGGATAGAACGCACACAGAAGCTGCTTACTCTGCTGGTATCTTTTTAACCTGTGTTGAGTTAGGAGAAGAAATTGGTAGGGCCTCAGTCACCAGGCCCATCTATTGGGACCTAATTTTTAATTACTGTGAAGTGAAGAAAAATAAGAAGGGAAGGTTATTTCCTTTGTAGGCTTTTTTTTTTTTTTTTTTTTTTTTTTTTGCGAAAAGGTCTCCCTGTAGCCCCAGCTGGCCTGGAAATCACTGAGAACTCAGCCTCCTGAGTGCTGTGTGTGTGTGTGTGTGTGTGTGTGTGTGTGTGTGTGTGTGTTGGTGTCATGGCATAGGTGTGGAGGCCAGACAACAACTTTGTGGAGTTGGTTCTTTCCTTCCACCTTTAGGTGGGTTCCAGGGACCAAACTCAGGTTCTTAGGCAAAGCAGCAAGCATTTTACATGCTAAGCCATCATGCCAGCCTTAGCTTTTTCTTTTTTTAAAACACATGATACTACTTTGTAGCCCTTGGTTGGCTTTAAACTATGTAGCCCAAGCTGGGCTTGAACTCATGAGCCTGTCTCAGCCTCATGAGTGCTGGGATCGTAGGTGTACACTACCATGCCCAGCCTTTTTATATATAATTATTTATTTATTTATTTTATTTTTTGAGACAGTCTCACTATGTAGCCCTGGCTGGGTTGGAACTCACTATGTAGACCAGAATAGCCTTGATCTCACGAGATCCCCCTGCCTCTGCCTCCCAAGTGCTGAGATTAAAGGTATGTGCCACCACACCCAGCCTTACCAATATTTTTGCAAGTAACTTAAAGTATTTTAATTTCTGGTCTATATAATTTTCTAAAGCCACAGACTATTGTTTTTTGTTAGCTTTATATTGTTAGTTTAGGGGATCCTCCTGCATCTTCAAAGTTATCTGACACTGAAATAACTCTGATTAGCTGTTTCTACAATGAGCTGGAAACAGCCTTTTACTCTGTTGATGTCAGATGGTGAGGACAGGGTAAGGAAGTGCTGGTAGGAGAGATCTGGGGACATAGCAGCAAGGAGTCTGCACTTGTCTCACTTCCCATCTGCTGGAAAGGTTGAACAACCCTGGCCAATGAGAGGTGACAGTAGTTGGCATCAGGTGCTCAAATTGGCTTGACCTGAGAGCTGTACTTGAGGGTACAGCTAACAAATTAATGTTGACTTGGTCTTTTTATGTTTCCTTTTTTTTTTTATCTTGAATTAAGTTTGTTCTTTGACAACTTTGTACATTATATAGTGCATCCTGATTACTGTCACCCTTGCTAATCTCCTTTCTGCTCCTATAGCCCCCAACATTTCTGCTCCTATAGCCCCCCGCAGTCCCTGACTTGTTTTTTTTTTTTTTTTTTTTTGAGACGGTCTCTCTGTAGCCCAAGTTGGCCTTAATCTCACAGAGATCTACCTGCTTCTGCCTCCCAAGTGCTAGGATTAAAGGTGTGCACCATACCTGGCTCAACATTTATTATCCTGTAAAACATGTTGGTGATTTTTAAGCCTCTTTTATTATTAAATTTGCTTTTTAATTTTTATATAAAGTTTTAGTATTAATGAGGTCTCTATGATGTTTTGATCTATGAATATATTGTGCAAGATTTAAAGTACATTTATCTTTAAGTCAGGGTATGTACCTTAGAGTTTTTATACTTCTGCCTTGTGTTACTATGCCTATATCTACTCTAAAAACTAACACTGGTAGTAAAATGAGATCAGAATCTTCTTTATGGCTTTTCAAGATTCATTTTTTAATTTTTCTTCATTTTAAAATAATTTGTTTTTGTTTTATGTGTACAAGTGTTTTGCCTGCACTTATGTAAGTATACCATGTGTATGCAATGCCTGCAGAGACCAGAAGAGGGACTCAGATCCCCTGGAACTAGAGTTTTGGACAGTTGTTAACCATCATGTGGGTGCTAGGAATCAAACCCAGATCCTCTGCAAGAGCAGCCAGTGCTCTTAACAGTTGAGCCATCTCTCTAGGCCCTATTTTTATATTCTTAATTATGAGTTTATGTGTGCATCTGTGCAGGGAAATATGTAGGTGTGAGTGCAGGTGCCCGCAAAATCCAAAAGAGGACAGATCCACTGGAGCTGGAGTCACAGGTAGTTGTGAGCTGCCTGACGTGGGGGCAGGGAAGAGAACCTGGGTCCTCTGCAAGAACAGGATATACTCTTCGTGGTTGAGCCGTCTCTCCAGCCCCTGCTTTATGTCTCTTAATGCTTACCAATATTTGGGGAGATAAGTATGTTTTTAACATCTTCATTGAGATGAAATTTAAAGTATACAATTTATGCAAACATTTTTAGTGTAATATTGTGTGACCATCACAATCTAAATTTAGAATAGTTTTATTAGTGGGGTCGATACATTTTACTGTCTTTAAGACTGCGTTTCTGTTTACATTTGATTGTGCCTTTGGCAGATTGTCTGTGATTTGCTTTAACTACTATAATTTTTTCATTAGTTTTCAACTTTCACAGAAAAGAAAAACTGCTCAAATTTGCCAGTAACATGTAATTTGAGTATAGTAGTGTCATGGTTTAAAATGTTTTTATTGTAGATTGAATCAGATGCATCCATTTAAATCTGTAGTTCTCAAGAATATGTAAAGAGAAAGGAAGAATTATAGAAAGAAAACAGGAATGTTTGAGTGGTATAACAACATGTGCATTTCCATCTGGTTACACTGTTCTGTGGTCTTAATGTTTATGCCTCCCCAAAATTCGTATGTTGAAATCTTTCCCACAAGGTGATGAAAAAGACTTTTGGGAGGCTATTAAATCATAAGGATGAAGTTCTCATGAGTGGAACTGGGGCCTTGTGAAAGAGATGTATGGGAACTTGTTCTCCTGTCTGCCAGATGAAGACAAAAAAGAAAGGTGTCTTGACATGAAGGACTATGCGAGCCCTTACCAGATACCAAATCTGCCAGTTCCCTAGTCTTAGACTTCCCAGTACACAAAACAGGATTGAATTTCTTGTGTTTATAAGCCACCTCGTTTATGTAATGTTATAGCAGCCAAGCAGACTAAAACGTCTATGAGTCACTATGACAAATTAAAAAAAATATTTATTATTTTAATTTTGTGTATGAGTGTCTTGCCTGCATATATATGAGTGCACTTGTGTCGTGCAATGCCATGGAGGTCAGAAGAGGGCTTCAAATTCCCCTGGAACTGGAGTTAAGGATGGTTTGTAGCCACCGTGTGGGTGCTGGGAATCGAACCTGTGTTCTCTGCAAGAGTAGTCAGTGCTCTTAACAGCTGAGCCATCTCTCCAGCCCCCCATTATGTCAACTTTTATAATTTCACCTGAATTCATAGAAATGAATGTCAGTATTTAGGCTGTGAAATATTTTAATCTGTCTTTGAACATATTCATTTCCTATTTATTTATTTATTTATTTATTTTTAAATTGCAGATTCCAGATGACCTGAGGAAGAGACTCAATATAGAAATGCATGCAGTAGTCAGAATAACTCCACTAGAAATTACCCCCAAGATTCCAAGGTCTCTGAAATTACAACCTCAAGAGGATTTAGTGAGTTTCAGTATATGTTGTATGAAAATTCTTTCATGTGTGCTGAAAAATTCCTAGTTGCTCGTTAATAAGAATTTTGTACTTCTTGTTAGAAAGAAAAACAGATCTTTTATAGTTGTGTTAAAAGATATATAACATGGAGCTGGAGAGCTGGCTTAATGGTTAAGAGCACTGTGTGCTCTTGCCAAGGACCCAGGTCCCAGCACCCACATGGTAGCTCACAACTGTCTGTAATTTGAGTTTCAGGAAATACAGTGCCATCATCTGACCTTTGTGGACATTGCACAACATGGATGCACTTACACACATGCAGGCAATACACTCATACACATAAAATAATATATAAAGTATTTTTAAAGATATATAACAGCTGGACATGGTGGTGCATGCCTTTAATCTCAGCACTCAGGAGGAGAGTCAGGCAGACCTCTGTGAGTTCCAGGCTAGCTGGGGCTACAGGGAGACCCTGTCTGAAAAATACTAAAAAAATAAAAAATAAAAATAAAGATATATAACATAAAACATGCCATTTAAATCATTTTTAAGTGTATGATTCAGTTGCATTAATTATTTCATAATGTTGTATGACCTCTACCAGTGTTTCCAAACCTTTTCCATCACTGCAAACAAAAACTCTGTGTCCATTAAGCAAACTCCCCATCACTTCCTCCCTTACTCCCTGTTAATCTCTAATCTATGTTATATCTGAGTTTGCTTATTCTAGACATCTTACAGAAGTGGAATCATACAGTGTTTGTCCTGTAGGTCTGATTTATTCTACTTTACATAATGTTTTTGCAGTCCATCTATATTGTGGCATGTATCAGAACCTCGTTCTATGATGTAGGTGACTAATATATATGTTCATTTATTTATCCATTTATCTGTTGGTGGTCATTTGGATTGTTTCTACTTTTTGACTATTTTGATTAATGCTACAGGTAACAATGAAATATCTGTGTGAGTCTCTCTCTCTCTCTCTCTCTCTCTCTCTCTCTCTCTATATATATATATATATATATATATATATATGGAAGGGAAATGTGAAATTATATGGCAGTTCCATGCTTAATTTGTTTAAGAAGCAAAAAAGCTTTAAATTATGTATACGTATCAGTACAGATATGGATAGTTCTGTCTTTTGAAAAACTGATATTTTGGAGTTGGAGCTGTAGATCAGCTGATAGAGTGATCCCCAGCACCACATAAACAACATGTGGTGGTGCATACCTGCAGTCCTAGCACTTGGGAAGTAGTGGCAAGAGGACAGAAGTTCAGGGTCATCCTCAGCTACATAGAGACTTTGAGACCAGTCTGGGCTACATGAGAAAATGATGGATTTTCTTAGACTATTTTTGGTAATGATCAAGTTCTAAACTGAGCTTAATGGGCGGATGTAAACTTCACTGATGAAGAGACAGAACAGAAATAGACCTTTGAGAATGGGTATTTGCTTTGTGGGAAAATAATCATCTTTTCTATATGATTGTTGGTGTGTGTGTGTGTGTGTGTGTGTGTGTGTGCGCATGTGTGCACATGTGTGTGTGTGCAGGTGGATGCCAGAGAACAACCACAACTTTTGTTCCTCAAGTGCTATCCACCTTGTTTTTTGAATCAGTGTTTTTTGAATCTTGGCTTGGGACTTACCAAGTACACTATGCTGACTGGTCATCTAGCAAGCCCCAGGGATGCATCTGTCTCCACAACCCCAGCACTGGGATTACAATCCTATATCACTACATCTGCCTTAAAAAAAAATTATGTGTATGTTTTGCATGCATGTACGTTGAGTGCACCTGTGTGTGCAGTGCCCATAGAGGCTAGAAGAGGGCACTGGATCCCCTAGAACCGGCATTAAGGAGGATTTTAACCAGCATGTGGGTGCTGGGAACTGAACCCAGATCCTCTGAAAGAGCAGCCAGTGCTCTTAACTACTGAGCCATAACTTCAGTTCCATACACCTGGCTTTTAAAAAATTCTTTTAATTTATTATTTTTATTTTTTGTGTATGAGTGTATTGCCTACATGTGTGTTGTGGTTGCCGGCTGTGGCTGCTCTCCTCTGGCTATGGTTGCTCTCCTGCTCTCTCAGTTCCTCTGATCAGTCGTCCGGTCCGGACCCGGTGAGGAGTGTCTTCGCCAGCGTCACCACATTCAGACGCAGGAGACCAGGTTCAGTGACACAGATCTGCTTTATTGCAGGAAAGTACGGGCTTATATAGAGGTAATAGTCCAATCATAACACAGCATATGGGATCCCTTATTAGCATTGCAGGCTAGTATCTTATTACACTCTAGCGGGCCAGATGCCCTATTAGCATGATAAGTTTCAGTTTCTCTAAGTTTCGGATTCCTGGAAACCGTGTTTTCTCTCTGATAAGAAACAGGAAACACTGCACTCCAGCATGATAGGTATGTAAGGCAAAAGGCAAAATCAGTCACAAGATTTTCCACAACATTGTGTAAGTGAACTCATGTCATGCAATGCCCAAGGAAGTCATAAGTTGTAGAATTTCCCCAGAACTGGAGTTATGGATGGTTGTTAGCCTCTGTGTGGGTGCTGGGAACTGAACCTGGGTCCTCTGCAAGAGCAGCCAGTGCTCTTAACCACTGAGCCATCTCTCCAGCCCTCACCTAGGTTTTTCTGAACATAGGTTCTGGGCGATTAAACTCAGGTTCTCATGCCTGGAAGCCATGAGCTATCACCTGAGCCCTGTATGAATATTTAGTATTCTTTTTTTTAAATTTTATTTATTATTTTTATTTTATGTGTATGCATGTATTGCCTGCATGTAGGTAAGTGCACCTGTGCCATGTAATGCCCGTGGAGGTCAGAAGAGGCTGTCAGATCCCCTGGGACTGGCATTACGGACAATTGTTAGCTGCCATGTAGGTGCTGGGATTTGAACCCAGGTCTTCTGCAAGAACAACCAGTGTACTTAACCACTGAACCATCTCTCCAGTCCCGAATATTTAAGCATTCTAATTTTTATTGTCAAATAAGTTTTTAAATACTGAATTTAAATTAAAAGCTTTTAAATTTAGCTCTTTTTTTTTTTCTAGAATTTATTTTGGGCCTTTGAGTAAGTGATTAACACTCTACTCCTGGATTATATCTGGAGTGTGGTCCAGATAAGAAAAATGAAATAGTGGCTCAAACATAAAGGGATTTAATTTTCTCATGTACAAAGAAGCTTCAAGGAACTCATAAGTGGTTAAAACATGTTGTCAAGGATCTAGGCTCCATCTCATTTTCTCCTCTCCCATTCTTAGCTGTGACTTTGCTCCTTTAGATGCAAAATGTTTGCTATACTTAGAAGTATCGCATCTGCATTTCAAGAAGCAATAGAAAAGAAAAAAAAAGAACAAAGCTAATGGAAACCTTCATTCTCCATTCCACCAAAGTTGACAGTTGACCCCATGTTGGCAAATCCTTTGGTCTTTGATTTACTATTCATATCCCCCCTTAAATTTCATTGTATATATATTTTTATGTAACCTGCTTCAAGTTATTTC